CTTCACACATATTTAGTTGCCCTACTTGGCATTATTTGCTAGCCATTAAAGATTATGCAGGAGTTTTTCATGTCCCATTTTTTTTTTTTTATTCTCTTAGAAAATTAAGGTAGGAATAAGAGTGTGGTCAGGCTATTGCACAGATTTTCTTTTTTCTCTTTTTTTCCTTTTTATTTCTTGGAGAGACTGTGTCTAGAGTTTAGACTGGGGAGGATTTAAACTGGAGGATTAGACTGGAAGGATTTCTGGGTTTTCTTCCTGGCACTGACAATCATGCATTGTGTGAGCTTGAGCCAGTCACTTAGGGTCTGTTTTTCACACTCCAGTTGAAATAAATGGAAACTGCATGTGCTCAGCACCTCTGCAAACCAGGTCATTTATCTCTCCTCCTTTTATTTATGCACTGATAAATATAACAATCTTTGCATATGCAAACTGGATAGAAGGATACAAATATGGGCAGTTGAACATGCAAATCCCTCATTCTGATGCACAACCGTTTCATACAGCCAGGGATTTCTACATTTGCAGGCCTTGGGTTCTTTTTGAAAAAATGAACCATAAATAACAAAATCTATACAGACTTGTCAGGGAGGCAGGGCTGAAATCAATATATTTGTGTAGCCTCTTTTCTACAGTTTCACTTCTGTTAAAAATACTATTAGCTATAATAATCATTTTAGCCTACTTTACTACTGGATTAAACCACATTGTCAGTGGGCAAATGCCTTGGGCATTGCATGCTAATTGTAGGTTATTACACAAGACTCAGTGTTAACTGTTTGACACACTTTTGGATTCTTGGGTGGCCTTAATCATCCCTTTGTGGTACCTGCATTTCTTCAGTGACAGTGAGGGTGTCCAAAGGGGCTAGCCAGCAACTCAGAATTTCCCCAGTGAAATGGCTGCAGTGCCTCAGTGTGCCTTCTGGACATATAGAAAGGGCTGGATCTGGTACAAAAAGCAGGACAAAGTTTGTCCTAAGCAGTTGCATTGACATCCATTTTCACTCTGCCTACCTC